AAATATTAAATATGGCGAGGAGAGATTTTACCAGTTGTTGTACTAATGATGATGAAGTCAGTTGAGACCCCGGGAATATAGAGATTGGAAATGGGTTAACGAATGGGGGAAATCACGCAACTGATATTGCTGTTATTGATCTCCCCTTTTAGACACTTGATCTCATATCCAGATATTATTCGCCTGAATCATCGGATCAGGTATCTCACGTTTTTGATCCTCACACAGCGGTTGGTATTGCTGCCGCCGAGAAAAAACAAAAGAAAGGGTAAGGAGGCGACGATTCTCAAAGCTCGTTAATGATACTCTTTCAATACGAGCATCTAATTGTACAATCTACGATTTTTGATTTCAGCGTAATACAAATCTGCTTGGCAACGGCACACCCGGCTAAATTCTCAAAAGCAGTAGAAACAGCTCTTAAAAATGTACCTCGTTTCAATTTTGACGAGATTCTTCCACCAGAATTTGTCGGTTTATTAGAGAAAGAGAAGAGAGTTGTTCTCGTAGAGAAAGCTGATCCTGAGCTGATTAAAGAGGTCATTGAGAGAGAAATGAGGGCAGAGTTGAGTTGAACGAAACGTATCTAACCATAATATGGGTTGGTAAGACAGACTCGAAAGATTTTGTCAAAGAGAAGGTACGAATTGCATTCTATGATCAATCATGTGAACAAAGAAGAGATTGTATTTATAATTTTATTGTAATGATACAAGTTTACAGTTCAACAATAAATAATGATTAACTATCCCAATGCTGTGAATGAGCAAACTTAACCGCTTCTTCCACTCCAAGTTTCACTGCACGCATTATTAGTTCCTTTGCGCGCGGTTCGTTCTTCTTCAACTTTCCGACACCCTTCATATAACAAACACCTAAATGGTACATACCATGCGGTATTTCCATTTCAACTGCCTTCTTGAAACATTCCACCGCCTTTACTCTATCTTTTGTTGGCATCCCTTCTCCAGTAAGATACATATAGCCTAACATATCAATAGCATCTCCATTCCCGTCCTCTCCTTCAGCAGCTCTTTCTAAATATTCCCTGGCTTTAACGCGATCACTTGTTACGTGTTTACCAAAGAAATAGTAAGATCCGATGCGAAACATGGCTTCTCGTGATTCGTTAGAAATCGACATGAATAAATCAAACGCCTCTTTGTACTGTTGTGACGTGTGGCACGCATTTGCCCTGGTCAGTATTTCTCTCACGTTGGGAGCAACTATTTCCTCTTCTTCGTCTGCGTTAATGGTAGAGATGGAAAGAGTAGGAAGCCGGTTTAGAACCGAAAGGGCATCCGAAGAACTATCTGGAACAGCGCTAGGGGTACTATCCAATTCCTCTGGGCGAATGTTCTCTAAATGCTCTATTATTTGTTTTGTTTTGAATCGGCGTGTAGGTATAGTCTCCGTACACATTGTGTAAATGACAGACACAACGCTTGGCGTAGACGGCGGTAGCTCTAATGTTTTTCCTTCCCTTCTCGCCGTGTACACATCATCCAAACTATACCCGGCCCATGGATATTTTTCAGCTACTATCTCGTATAGGACAATACCGAACGAGAATACGTCGCACGCTTTTGTAAATTTAGCAGCATCGTCTTGCAAACGCTCTGGCGCATCCCATCGCATCTGCTCCTCGAATGTGTTGATTTGTAATTGAGTAGTCGCTTCATCTAGACGAGCCTTACGGAAATTGGTAATTTTTGGTTCGCAACATTTGTCCAACAAGATGTTTTCGCTGCAAATGGTTTTATGGACGATGCCTGCTTCGTGCAGATATGCTATGCCTTTTATAGGAATAAAAAGAAAAATAAATCAGGTCTCGATACTTGACGTCTGTTTTAACGAGTGACATGGGTAATCTTATGTCAAGCTGGCGCCTCAACGTCTTTAGCTAGACCGTAATCACTGGCTAAAGGTTCTAGATACAATAGATCGTTTCTAAACTAATCAATCACATAGAACATTCCCATATTGACCCGTTCCCAAACCAGGCTACGTAGCACCAACCTTGAACAATGCCTAACGCAATAGCACGTTTCAGTCCCCAATCAGCATGCAACTTCTGGTTAGCGATAAATGTCTTTAGATCGCCATTAGAACAGTATTCGAGCACGAGTCCCATGTATCCGCCACGCATCGACGTGATTCCGATGAGATTAATAATATTTGCAGATGGCGCTAATCTCTGCAAGTAAAATACCTCCTGAGCGAGTCGCCTTTTATGATCAATATTGCTTTCTCGAGCCAGAGTTACTTTAATAATTACTTCCACATTTTTAAGATTTCTTTCTTCGTCTGCAGTATTGTAAACAGCGAGACGCATTCGGTCAGTCTTGAATTTTCTCACGTCTGTAAACTGAGAGAATGGTATTCGTACATCGTCAAGTAAAGTCTCGGAAACAGCACTTTTGGAAGTGTCGTTTCGTTTCAATTCGTCCAAAGCTTCTTTGACCGAATTATTTATCTCCTCAAATGCTTTCCTATCTTCCTCTCTCCATGAATTCTGCCTGTCAACTATTTCTTGACTATCAACATAGTGACGAATATTTATTGCAAAGTTTAACCGTTGGCACGCTTGATCAAGTCGCTCTTCCATGCTTAAAAATTCAAGGGCAAACTTTTTTGCATGAAATATTTTCAGTCCATATCTTCCTTCTGCGTGTTGCTTAATAACGGACCGTGCATCTTCAAGTACTATCGCAAATGATTTCAATGCGCTGATGAAACTTTTGTTTTCTATCTCCTTAGCATCCTTTTCTAATTGTTCCAACAGATCTTTCGCCGATTCACTAGACATCTTTATCTGTTCGGCCAGACGTCTGCATTCAGATTTACAATGCTTTGCAGCAACAGCATAACTGACTATATCTTCGACGATGAAAGCAATATTACCGGTAAGCACAGCAATAGCAGCATGATTGATTATCTTTCCGACTTCTAATGCGACTTCTATGTATTTAGGCAGACTTGAATGCGCATCTTGAACTCCTGCTATACCAATATCGACGGACATCGCACCCGCGTCGAGTATATTCGAGTTCATATTCGTCAAAAGGTTTGGGTTCATCATATTGGGCAAGTAAAATTTTTAATATTTCGGCGGGTTAAAAGGGAAAATTAACTTTAGTTCGTTACGAACTTGCGACTAAGTAACTTTTAACTTATATAAATACTAATCAAGTTTACTGAGGAATAATATATAAAGATGGACACAAGGCTAACCTAAAATCCGCTGGTATTAATTACTCTCATGCCCACGCATCTGGGTTTTTATTGGTCAAAATTTTAAAATATCACGGAATTTTCACTTGCTGGGGAAAGAGAATCTATCTACACTGACGAAGTTTTATCGAAGAAAAATTGACCCACAGAAAGCTAAACGTAAAGAAAAGGAGAAAGGAAATGAAAATGTTATAGCGTCAATAATAATAGTGCTAGTACATGCAATCGCAATCGCGCAATTATAATTATTGTAAGTATTGTTTACTGTCATAAATCAAAACGCATTTATAGCCTGACGTGACGTAATATTTTTTTATAGGTTTGGTCGATGGATACTCTTATGTGAATAATACCTACATTATGCAAATTCGTTATAACTCTATCAAAACTGCAGTAAATTGTAATTATTAAGATTTCGTTTAAAATTTATCAGAGTTAAAAATTAATTCCGTCACCTTGTTTTCGATGGTTAACTAATTACCTCATGATAAAGTTTTTAACTTCCTGCAAGTGGTTAAGTTTTTTGTCAGACACTATTTAACAGGATTGAAAACAGATAATAAACTTACGATTGGGAATTTTCAACTGGTTTCGCTATGTAATGTTTTCTCTACTAATAGAGATTTATCTCTAACTCTCGAACTTATTCGAATTTGCAACATCGGGCCCAGCAAAGGTCTTAACAATAGAATTATCACAAAATAACCCTTGTCAACAATATCCATAGGATTATGAATATTGTTATTCCCATAGGAATAAACTTACATAGTATCTCCACAGAATCGCAAGATTGGCATCCTAAAGAATGTTATAATTCCATTCGTGAGGTTTATCAGTATATCTGTCAAGCGACGTTTACATAAGCTTTTTTTAGCCATTATGCAATTTCTTCTAACTTTTTACACTTGCTAAGATTTAAATTAGTTAATCGGTAGCGCTCGTTTTTAACTCGCTTTCGCTGAAGATTCAAAACTTTAACCTTTAAGACGGGCCTGTGGCGTGTGACGGCGTAGTAGTAGCCCAGCACGAACATTTGGCTTTGCCGAACTGGCGTGATGCAATTACAAAGTATTAAATACAAAAAGTGCTTGTCTTATTATAATTGTGTATATAATCGAAAATAAACAACTCCCATGTATACTTAGTATCGATCAGTGGGTCCTTTATTGACACAGTTATGGTGGTTCACTACATCTGTTTTGTATACTAATACTTAGTATAAGTAACCATCAAATGACACCAATTTTTACATTAATATTAAGTTTTAAACACTGTTTTTATTTAAATTTTTATGTTCTCTATAAGTACAAGTAAAAGTAATAGACATAATTATCATACAAGCAAACCATGCAGTTGCTTTGTATTTATATTTGTGAGTTATTTATGATAAAAGTCTGTGTAAACTTGATTGATCAACTAAATACAATAACATGCAATTGAATTATCAGAATTGACTACAATATTCAATTTTCGTAAATTTGTTAAATAAGCTTACTCAGTCTTTTTGTTTTGATACAGCTTGTTTAATTCTTGAACTTTACTATTTAATGTAGATCTATCATCATATTGTAAAACATAGATCTTACTTTTTTATTTTTGCCTTAATATTAGCAAATTCTCATTCAGCTGCTTTTTCTACTCCAATTCCATACTGGAGATTATTTTGTGCATCTGCATTTCCTTGATCAGCAGCCTTTTGATACCATTTGACTGCCTTTTGTTCATCTTTTGCTACTCCAGTTGCACTTTCATAACACCAACCAAGATTATATTGTGCAAAAGCATAACCTTGTTCAGCAGCTTTTCGATACCATTCAACTGCCTTTTGTTCATCTTTTTCCACTCCAGTTCCATTTTCATAACACCAACCAAGATTGCATTGTGCATTTGCATTTCCTTGATCAGCAGCTTCTTGATACCATTCAACTGCCTCTTGTTCATCTTTTTCCACTCCAGTTCCATACTGATAACACACACCAAGATTACATTGTGCATTAGCACTTCCTTGGTCAGCTGCTCTTTGATACCATTCAACTGCCTTTTGTTTATCTCTTGCTACTCCAGTTGCACTTTCATAACACCAACCAAGATTATATTGTGCAGGATGATATCCTTGTTCAGCAGCTTTTTGATACCATTCAACTGCCTTTTGTTCATCTTTTTCCACTCCAGTTCCACTTTCATAACACCAACCAAGATTGCATTGTGCATTGGCATTTCCTTGTTCAGCTGCTTTTTGATACCATTCAAATGTCTTTTGTTCATCCTTTTCCACTCCAGTTCCATACTGATAACACACACCAAGATTACATTGTGCATTAGCATTTCCTTGGTTAGCTGCTCTTTGATACCATTCAACTGCCTTTTGTTTATCTCTAACTACTCCAGTTGCACTTTCATAACACCAACCAAGATTGAATTGTGCAATAGCAGTTCCTTGATCAGCAGCTTTTTGGTACCATTCAACTGCCTTTTGTTTATCTTTTGCTACTCCAGTTCCATATTGATAACACACACCAAGATTAAATTGTGCATTAGCACTTCCTTGGTCAGCAGCTTTTTGATACCATTCAACTGCCTTTTGTTTATCTCTTGCTACTCCAGTTGCACTTTCATAACACCAACCAAGATTATACTGTGCATTGGCATTTCCTTGTTCAGCAGCTTTTTGATACCATTCAACTGCTCTTGGTTCATCTTTTTCTACTCCAGTTCCATGCTGATAACATACACCTAGAGCAAATTGTGCATTAGAATCTCCTTGATCAGCAGCCATTTGATACCATTTGACTGCCTTTTGCTCATCTTTTGCTACTCCAGTTGCACTTTCATAACACCAACCAAGGTTATACTGTGCATTAGAATCTCCTTGATCAGCAGCCTTTTGATACCATTCAGCAGCCTTTTGTTCATCTTTTTCTACTCCAGTTCCATGCTGATAACATGCACCAAGATTATATTGTGCTTTAGCATTTCCTAAATCAGCTGCCACTTGTTCATATTTTTTAAAAATGTATCTGAAGAAAGTTTCCATGTTGAGACTAAGATAGCAGTCAATGAACATTCACAAAAATTTCGATTTTATAGCAATTTCATATATGCGTTACACGAAATATTTATTTGTTTTGATGATGACATGGACTTTCCCTTTGATAACAATATGATAGCAACAATTGCAATGATAAATAAACATATGCATCTTGTTAAGTTCTATCATGTTATAGTAACAAATTGTGGACAAAATGTTTAGTTATATGGTTATGTTTGTTCAAAGTTGTATGCTTTTTTTACTTTTGTAAACAGATTTTTTTAAATCTTACATAATAAACTCAGAACAAACACATAGAATTGATGACAAATACATCAATAAGTGTCTTGTAAAAATTTGGTAAACAACACATTTACACAGACAGAGATAACTATGAGACAACTACAATTTTACTGTGTAAATCTGATGTTTGTCATTTTGCCTCTTTTATAAAAAAGGAAATGATTTCCTATGCACGCCTGTACTATGTACTATGAACTATGTACTATGTACTATGTGCAAGACATCAGTCAGGGAATATTAATATACCATATTTGTAAGCATGTCGATCACATCATAACAAGTATAGAACATCGATCAGATTATTCTAAATCTCTCTTCCGATGTTCCATCGAAAATAATATTTTATATTATGAAATTGATATTTGTAACTTTCTAATAATCCGAATTA